GCTGCCCCAACGCCATCCTTGGGAATACGTGTGAGACTATTAAAGCAAACTCCTGCTTGGACCCCTTGAGACCCTGGTTTAAGTAAACCCAGGGCAGATGCCAGTGAGGGGTGGGAGGCATATGGAGGCGGTCTGGACTGGGATGCTTCCCAAGCAGCTCTGGTGATCTGCTCCGCAGCCCTGATGGACACCCCCCGCAGGGCACCCAGCACCCGCCGCCAGGAGCAGAAGCTTAGAGAGTGGTGCAGGAGAGGGTCACTGGCTGGCGAGGAGAAGGGAAGGAGGGAACAGGGACTTGGAGTTAAGGACGCAGACACACGTCCCTCCCCTGCCCCCACAAAGGTCTCATTCCCTCTGGGTTGGAAGTGTTTTCAGTATCACGGTTGCTCTGCACCAGCCCAAACTCTGCCATAAACAAATGAAATGCGTGCACACAGACCGACTTTTCTCAAAGCCAGTGGAGATTCTGTTTCCAGCCAGGAGAAGGTCCGTGAGTCTGGAGGGAAGAGGCCAGGCGATTGTGAGCCAGGGCTCAGGGTGCTGAGGCAACGGGGTGACTGAGTCACCTGGGGCAGGGGCCACTAACACAGGATCGCAGGATGACCCACACCCCTGACTTCTGTGCCCAAGGCCACAGAGTTCGTGTCTGGCAGGACAGGGTGGGACGGCAGGTCTGTCTGACTGCAGGGTGCCTTGAAGCCGTCTCCTGACAAAGGTCCCTCTTCTGAGCAAGAAGTGGCACCCAGGTCAGTGGTGTGAAGGGTCCAAGCTGCAGGACGAGCCCCCACCGGTTTATGTTTATAAACATTTTATTGTGTTTATAGAGGAGCCCCCACCCCCCACCCCCACTGGGCAATTCTACACAGGCTACTTAGCGGGCTGGGTCACGTGTTTTTAGGGCGCTTGTGTTTTTGTTGGTTCTCGGCTGGTTGTGCCATGCCCACCACTCTAGTTTCCCTGCCCAGGGACCAGAAGGTCTGTCTTGTAGAGTTGTTTCTGACTGCTTTGTCTCATACAATGATTTTCTTAAATGAGCTCATTATTCTACACCAGAAAGTGAATCATTGCAGATATACTTTGGTTACCTCATTCTTAATTTGTTCCTTTTCTTGGAGGGAGGGTGTTATTTTCTGCTTTTGGGGGGATTGAAAACAAACATAACCATTGGACAAATTGTAGAGGAATTGTCAGATGCAAAAAACCTAATCTGTGTAAACATTCACTGGAAACACAGTGAATTTATTTTTTAAAAACTCATTATTCATGGGCAGTATTCGTTATTTTATGAACCAATCCGTTATTTAGCCAAAAGGTAACCTCAATGGGGAATTTCCATTTAAAAGGTAACAGGTATCTCAGGGCAATGGTTTTGAAGAGGCCTCTTGTCCCCACCCATCCCGTAAGTCTGAGCTTGTGAAGAATGTGAGAGCGGTCCCACTCGTGTATTTCTCCTGCTCGGTCAGGCGCCATCTATTGTGACCATGCCCTGACTTTGCTCTCGTGTAGTTATTTGTCCTGTCAGTCTCCCCCGAGCCTGTGACCTCCCTGAAGATAGGGAGTGCCTCCTCCACCTCTGTGTCTGCCACGTCCGTGCCAAGGAACCCAGAAAGTGTCAGGGAATGACGGTTGGAAACACCAATCCACGCGTTGGACAAGCATTGAGTACCTACTATGTGCCAGGCACTGGACTGGGTGCTGAGAACCCAGGGCTGCCTGCCCACAGAGCCATGGCTCCGATCTGCGGAGCGGTTGTTCCGTGGCATGATGCTCGCTGCCCATGCCAGAGAAGGGCTCAACGCCCAGCCAACGCGCCTCGCTCAGGGGAGGCTGGCATGTCGCTGTGATGCGGGACACGTTTCAGCGGTGCTTCCAGACTGAGAGACTAGGGAGCAAGGCCTGGCAGTGTCCCTTTGTAAATCAGCTGAAGGAACCCCCTTAACCGCAGCAGCACGGTCGGTCCCATTGTGTACCGCGCTGCCACGAATGGGGGCTGGCTCGCCGGCTACAACATGGCCCCTCGGGAGATCAGCAAGTCAGCAAACGAACACTGCAGACGGGCAGCTTATAGTACGTGCTGGGGGTGCAGTGAGAGGGAGGCGGCGGTACTGGTGAATGGAGGAGGGGGGGAGAGCCTCCTGGGAGATGAGGTCATCATCAGATATGTTGAGATCTGAAGGAAGTGTTGTCAAGTTGAAGAGGGGCGTATGGTGAAGACCCCGAGGTGAGGCAGGGCTTTAGAGAAGTAGAAGGTCTGTGGGAAGGGAGTGGGTGCTGCCTGGTGAGGTCATGGGCCGAAGGGCCGGGGCATAGCCTGCAGCCTCCTGAGCATGAGCATGGAGATGCCTGACATACATCGAGTCGATGCTGACTCGCGGCGACCCTCTGGGGGGGGGAAACTGTCCCTGGGTTTCCGAAACTTTAACTCTTTAAGGGAGTAGAAAGCCCCATCTTTCTACTGAGGAGCGGCTGGTGGTTTCAAACAGCTGACCTTGTAGATCGCAGTCCAATGAGTAACCACTACACCACCAGGGCTCCTGACATAAACTAACAGCATGGTCCAATTCAATTTTCAAGAGTTCATTCAGGCCAGCGGGTGGAAAATGGGTTGGAAGAGAGGAACAGAAGCTCAGAGACCAGGTAGGTCCTGGAGTCCAGAGGCTTGTCCCCTGGCAGAGAGGGCCCTATCCCTGAGTGGCCCTCTCCTTAGGGGGAGGGTCAGCTGCAGTTGACTGACTGACTGTGAGGGTTGAGGGAGAGGGAATAAGCGAGGCTTGGAAAGGTTTGTCTTGTGGGTGGTGCATGGAGGAGAGGACCCCGAGGATGGAGGAGAGAAGGTCAGAGAAAGTGCAGCGCTCAGAGGTGGAGTCCAGAGAGCAGGGGAGAAGCAAAAGGAGGGCAGGCCGTCACTCAAACCAAAGCCTCTCCCATCAGACTGGTTCCCACCCACAGTGACCCTGTAGGAGGGTAGAACTGCCCCTGTGAGTTTCTGAGACGGTAAATCTTTATTTACAGTAGAAAGCCTCATCTTTCTCCTGTGGAGAGGCTAGTGGTTTTAAACTGCTGACCTTGGAGTTAGCAGCCCAACGTGTAACCCATATGCCAGCAGGGCTCATCAACGGTATCACCACAGGCTGTGCTTATGGAGGACAAGAACTGAGAGGTCCTGTGGATTTAGAAATGGCGACCTCACCAGATTCTCTGACTCAGTGACTCAGAAGAGGCGTACAGAGGAGACAACAACCAGAGTAGGTTGAGGAGTCAGGGAAGGCTTCCTGGGGGAGGTGGCATTTCAGCAAAGCTTTCGAGGCTGAGGCCCGACAGATCTAAACATTGCCTGTAAGGAGCCAGCTTGTTCCCAACAAAGCTTCCTTGCAGGGAGCACGAAGTGCCATCAACTGATGTCCTTGGGATTATCTCCGCCTCAGAAGAGGCAGGGGGTGGAAGAGGAGCTGGATGACTCCTCCCAGCACGAGGCTGGGAGGCTGGAGACCCTCCCACAGGTGACAGAGCCCACGAATTCCCAGCCCCACCCGCCAGGGCTCACAGGCTTGTCCGCTTCCTGCCCAGCAGAGGATTGTTGGCAAGTGAGAATTCCAAACCTCAGGTTCCAGGCCTCAGAGCAAACGGCTCTTTAACAGCACCCAGAACAGTCAGTTTGATCCATGACTTCTAGAGGAAGTCGGAAGCTTGCCCAAGATCCCCCAGCACATCAGCAGACAGACCAAAGGAATCTTTCTATTGAATTCCCATGGCTTCCACACTCCTGGCTAACGTCGGGCATTCAAAGTCTTTCATAATTGGACAAGAGGCCACCTTCCAATTTCATCTCCCACCACCTCTTCCTCAAACCCATGATCCATGCCCCTGAATGCTTAGCCCTTACAACGTCCTTTTAATTAGATGTCATTAGTCCCATTTTATTGATGAGAAGGCTAAGACTCAGAAAGGTTTGATAACTTGTCTAAGGTTATCTAAGGCTATACAGCCTTACAACTGAGCCATGATTCGGTCTCATGAGTTTCTACAAAGCCATCTTTTCCCCATGCCAGGCTCATGATCACCCTCGGGAAAGCAATCTCTGTCCCTGAGCTACCTGAGAGGAGCCTCTCGCATTGCCTCTGGGTTACATATCACAATGTAACCTGTAATCTGTGAATGCTTCCAGGGACCTCAACCGACAGATGCATATTAGCTGAAAGACATCAAAATAGGAATGAACTTGGCTATCAGAAAGAATAGCATCTGGGGTCTTAAAGTCTTGTCTTCAAACAAGCAGCCATCTAAGTATATCACACTGAAGCTAAGTCCACACAGAAGAAGCACACTAGCCTTTGTGATCCAAGGGTTATAAATAGTAAAATACAAGACCAGAGGAGGGATTTGTAGTAGAGCTTAAATTCGGAGCACCTGGTATGCCGACGGTGATGAATGATGGTGAAATCCCAAAATCCATTGACAGCATCCGTATGTGGAACAAGCCTCTGAAGAATGCCCTGACCATTGGCCAGGGGCGTGACTAGCCTTGCTATCAGACAGAGCGCACTGGAAAGTGGATTCACACTGATGTTGCTTAGTTAGGTTAAAATTTAATACCCAATCATTTATTCTCTATTTTGATTCATCTTAATCTGTTCTAGTTTTTATTATTTTCTACCTAATTTTTGGAAAACAACATGGGAACAAAGCAGCTTCCCTCCTACGTGGGGAGGAAGCTGAGGGGCAAAGAAGTGACCTCGTTTACAGTAATATCCTATGACTAACTCACATCACTTGTTTAGCCCACTGGAAATGCCTACATGCATTGAATAGGACTGAAACGACTGGTGCCTGTACTGCAGCCTGTGTCCCATAGAGACCCCATGATCGTACTCCTGCTAGGGGCCACAGATGCAGTGCAGCCTCCCATAGCCAGAGCAGGAGCCTACAGAATCAATTCTTCGTCTCCTCCGCACCCGAGATGGGGTAGCCAATTCCCTGCCCCAAACGGCCACTCCTCTCACCTGGAGACCACCAGTGGCAGGATCAGCATCTTCAGCATCCTCATCAAGAGCTCGCCGGGAAACTGGAAGTAACTAATCTCCTGAAAGCAAGAGCAGGCAAGGAAAACGTCTTAGCGTCTTCATTCTTTAGACCATTTGCAACACTCTCCCTCCCTGCGCGCCTGGCCCCGCATCCAGCACGTGGGCAGCAGTCAACGGAGAAGGCATTGGCTTTGGCTTCAAACAAGCCTAGCTTCCAATCTCGGTTCCCCTCATAACGAGCTGTGTGCCCTTACGCACATCACTTGACTTCTCTGAGCTTGTTTTCCCATCTGTAACATCAGGGCACTAACTGTCCTATAGGATCATTAAGGAGCCCCGGTGTTGCTGTGGTTTTGCACCGGGCTGCTAACCAGCTGCAAGGTCCTCACTTGGAAACCACCAGCAGCTCCGCTGGAGAGAGATGGGCTTTCTCCTCCCATGAAGAATCACAGTCTCAGAAACTCACGGGGGCAGTTCACTGTGCCCCATTGGGTTGCTATGAGTTGGCATCAGCTTGATGGCAGGGAGTTTGAGTTCTTGGCCTGGAAGGTCATTGTTGTCTGTGCCACTGACTTGGTCCTGATTCATAGCAGCCCTATACGAACACCCCTCACGACTGCCTTGCCGAGGTCAATTTATAGCATCCCCATAGGACAGCTGTGCTCAACCTGTGGGTCGCGACCCCTTTGGGGATCGAACAACTCTTTCACAGGGGTCGCCCGATTCATAACAGTAGCAAAATGACAGTGATGTGGTAGCAACGAAAATGATTTTATGGTGGGGGGTCACCACCACATGAGGAGCTGTATGAAAGGGTGGCGGCGTGAGGAAGGGTGAGGACCGCTGCTCTGGGACAAACCAGAACGGCTCCTGTGAGCGTCTGAGGCTATCAACTGTTTACAGAAACAGCGTGTCCAGTCTTTCGCCCTCCGCGCGCTGGGGTCTCAAACTGCTAGCATTGTAAAACTGGGCTGTAATCCTTGCGGAGGCCAGTCACCAGGGGGTTTCCCCATGGAATAGCTGGTGAGTTGAACTGCCAACCTTCCAGTTACCAGCCAAGTACTTATTCACTTCTTATAGGCTCATCAGGCTTCAATGAAAGAATGGACAGCGAGTCCTTAGCGCAGGGCTGGGGTGAGAGTAAATGCCCAGTAACCACAGTAAATAACAGTCCCCACCTCTTGCCTATCTGCCCCGCCCTTCCCCCTGCTATTACTAGCTATCTCATCTAGGAAATGGGATGCGGCACGTGGGCGGGCTTGTGTACGGTCCACACACACTCCTTCAGTCCAAGTTAAACACACCATGGCATTCTTGCGCCTGGTTTCCCTAAGTGGACCCCATCCAGTTTCCCCTCACTCCGCATCACACACTCTGCCTTTCCCCCATCAGCTACTCTGCGGGGGCCTGCTGGGCCAGTGCCTGTGCGCCCCACTGCAGCAAGCCCCAACCAACCCGCCCCTGGGAGAAAGACGGTGGCAGGCTGCTTCCACAGTGAGTTCCACCGTGGAAACCCTAGGAAGCAACTGGACTATGGCGTATAAGGGCTTTAAACATATACTCTAGCAGTTGTATTGGCATCTAATTCACACATCATACAATCCAGTAGTTGAATCACATCAAGAAGTGTTGTACAGTCATCACCACAATCAATTTTAGATACTTTTCTTCATTCTTGTACCCATCTTTATTAGCGCCCCTTTTCCCCACCATTTCCCCTGCCAAGACGGGGCTTTCTACTCCGATAAAGAGGGACAGTCTCAGAAACCCACTGAGGCACTTCTATCCTGTCCTACAGGGTCACTGTGAGTCACATCGACTTGAGGCAGGGAGGTTTTTTGTTGTTGTTTTTCCTGTCATATCCTTAAGAGCCATTGCTTCATTTCCTAGTTCCATAGATTTACCTATCCTGCGGTTCCTATACAGAAACGCATTTTTAAAAAAGACAAAAATCTAACAACAACAAAGTAAAACAGATTAAAATCTCCATCCAAATGAAAGCAGAAAATATTAAACACTAAAACAAATTTAAAACGAATAAAAAAAGGAGCTCAAATGAGAAGGTGTTGAATTTTAACCTCACTGCAGCTGCCGTCCTCCCCTCTCCAGTGCTCTCTCTCTGCCTGATAGGCCTGTGGGTCTTCACCGGCCAACCTCAGAGCCATGAGGACCAGTTGGGATCAACCTGGCTCAGTGGGCATCACAGTCACACGTTGAACGAGAGAGGATCGGACTGCATTGGTGAGACGGAGCTCCCAGTGCTCAGAGTTCTCTCACCAAGCCGCCTCCGTGGCTGCGGATCTAGCCGGTCCACAAAGCCTTTGTAGAGTTCAAGGCCTAATGGAGTCATGACCAGAGCCCATCACCCGAAGCGTGATGAGCTGGCTTGATTCCGTTCCGTTCGCATTTCAGAGAAATCACAAATAACTTTCTTATATAATCAAAGAACACATCATGCTTTGCTTCTCTGAAATTCAAATGTGACTGGGCATCCAGGGTAGGAGAGCTCGCTTTGCGAAATGGGGCACCTCCGCTGCTCCCCTCGGTAGACAAAGCTGTGTGCGAGGCAAGTGAGCATGCTGTCCTTGCCTGGTCTAGGTCAGCCTCCTTATGCACGAAGAAGCTGAGCCGGGAGAGGAAGATGCTGCAGCGAGCTGGCAGCACTACGGGACCACAGCCACGCTCCCTGTTCCCAGCCTAGGAGCCTCGACATTGGCTTGGTTCTCGGAGAACCCAGCCTAAGCCAAACATCTCTATTGAAAAACACCACCAATCGTATTTTCCATGTTCTCAAGCGGATGGGTTCATTTTCCTCACACTTGGGACCTCATTCCAAGAACACTCCATCCTCCTGCTCCAATTTGGACACGTTGCTCTCCAGATCTAGTTGTTTTTCGCCAGTCTTTTCTTCACGATCATCCCGAATTTTAAGCTGTAGGGGAGCTCAGGATTCCTGGACCACTGGGTTTTTTGTTTTACTTCCTTGTTTGCTGGAACATCTCCTTTGGTGGCTTCGTGAGTAAGGGCGGGTGCGATGCTTTTTTCTGAGTCCTTACATGAGTGAAAATGCTTTTATTCCACTCGACCTCTGATTCATAATCTGACCTTGGTGGAATAATGTCTCCACATTTTGAAAGCATTCTTGGAGTGTTGCTCAAGATGTCTGATGACGTTTTAATTTCTGAATTCCACAAGAACAACTTCATCCTCTCAGAAACATGTACGGATCATCTGTTTTCTGTCATCTCATAATGATATGCCATGGTGGGTTTTCCTGGTCCTCTTTTTAAAAATTCATAATGCTGCAATACCTTCCATTTCTGGGAGACCCTGCTGTATTCTCTGCAAACTCTCTCCTCCATGTTCATGCTGTCCTAAAACTAGAATGTCTACCACCTTACATCTTGCTTTTTCCTTATTTTGCTTTTGTTTTACTTTCCAGCAGATTGATTTTTGTCCAGGTATTGGCATTTTCAGGTTGACACTTTTTTCTATTTTAAATTTCCAAGAAGTCTTTCTTGTTCTTGGGTTGTATGGTTTTTTCTTTTCTTTTCTTTTTTTAAAGCATCCTGTTCTGTTTTATGGTCACTGTCTCTTCTCTTATATCTCTAAAGATCTTAGGAAAAGAGTTTCCATCATTGTAGTCGGTTCCCCCTTCTCCCTCCACCTCCCCTTACCCTCCTGGTATCGCTAATTCTCATTATTGGTCCTGAGGGGTTTATCTGTCCTGGATTCCCTGTGTTGCGAGCTTTTATCTGTACCAGTGCACATGCTCTGGTCTAGCTGGATCTGTAAGGTAGGATTGGAGTCATGATAGTGGGAGCGGGGTGGTGGTGGGAAGAATTAAGAACTAGAGGAAAGTTGCATGTTTTGCTCCCAGGGGGACGGGCAGCAGAAAAGTGGGTGAAGAGAGACAGTGGTTGGTGTAAGACATGAAACACATTTATGGATTATCAAGGGTTCATGAGGGAGGGAGGAAGGGAGGAGGGAGGGGGAGAAATGAGTTGATGCCAAGGGTTCAAGTAGAAAGAAAATGTTTTGAGAATGATGATGGCAACATATATACAGATGTGCTTGACACAATGGGTGTATGTATGGATTGTGATATGAGTTGTAAGAGCCCCTAGAAAAATGTTTTTTTTTTAAGTTTCAGACATTTTCTTCTCCTCCCTATGTTATTGCTGCTTCCTCAGAGAGCCTCTTTCATTTGCTTAGTCTCTGTCTTCTGCATCCGAGGCTCTCGTCCAGTGATTCCCGGTGACGGTGAGTCTGTGCTCATCTGTAAACAGGAGGCAGAAGCTTCTGTCTGTAAGAGCAGCACTTGCTACCGGATGCCCTCAGGACAGGCAGGGTGGTGGGTGGGGGCACGCCTGGCCTTTCCCCGGGTGTGGGCAGGAATGGAATCCCTGTCCTAAGAATCTGGAGACCCTTTCTCTGATGACTCAGTGGGAGAAGTCCCGTGGAGGAGGGAGTGGGAGGTGACTGAGGCTCTGTCTGAACCCAGGTCCCAGCAATCTCAAAGCTGTGCAGCGGATCTTGAATTCAGAGTGCAGGTGTTCACAAATTAGCCTGAGGCTGTCTCACTACCGCCTCCAGATTACACACACACACACACACACACACACACACACACACCCCAAATCCATAGCCAGCAGTTCAGACTCATGTCAACTCCCCGTGTTACAGGTTAGCGCTGCTCTTAGGGTTTTCTTGGCTATACTCTTTTTTTTTTTAAATCATTTTATTATGGGCTCATACAACTCTTATCACAATCCATACACACATAAATTGTGTAAAGCGCATTTGTACACTCATTGCCCTCATCATTCTCAAAACATTTTCTCTCCACTTAAATCCCTGGCATTAGGTCCTCATATTTCCCCTCCCTCCCCGCTCCCTCCTCACTCATAAGCCCTTGATAGTTTATAAATTATTATTCTGTCATATCTTGCCCTATCCGATGTCCCTTCACCCACTTTTCTGTTGTCCGTCCGCCAGGGAGGAAGTCACATATAGTTCCATGTAATCGGTTCCCTCTTTCCTACCCATTCTCCCTTTACCCTCCCTGTTTTGCCACTCGCACCATTGGTCCTATAGG